ATAAAAAATATAAATAAAATCAGTTAGCATCTCAGAGTTGAGATTTATAATTTTGTGGAGCTGTATATTTTGAATCAATAAGTCGAATTACGCAAGTTTTTGCTGATGACAAATCATCCTGAGAACTTTAAAATTTTTTAAGTTGCTCAGTCGCTCATGAAAATTGATGGCGGTAGATTTCTGTTCGCGAAATGAAATTTGTAACTTTGTGCGTACCGATTTTTTAATACACAAAGTGAAGACGTATGATTTCTACTAAATTTACTGATATATTTTCTTCAAACGTTTTAGGTTTATAAAATTCGAAGTCACATGAAGTTACTCGTAAAAGTTTTATACTAACTTTCACTGGAAAATATTTACATAATGTGTATATAAATAGATTTTAAAAAGATTTGATAATTTTATTCTCTTGTCTGTGTGTTTATTTACATCAAGTTTCCCTTAAACTTATATATACTGTCATGTATCTCTCATTTGACAATTTCGCTTAAAATATTAAAGATATTAAAATATATGTTAATTCTAAGTTTTATATAACCACTTTATTCATGAGAAAAGAAATAATCTCTTTGTCGTTATAATTATTTTATATCAATATGATTTAATTATTATAATAATTAATAAAAATATATTGATATATTATATCGTAAATATATATTTACATGACATACATTTTAGTTAACTTTAAAATTTTCAATGAATTTAAGCGCTATTATTGTTTTGATATTCAAAATAAGATTTTAAATATGAAAGGAATAATTATATAAATCATATAATTATGCGGCTGTGATAATTTAATAAAATACGAACGATGAAAGCGCGTATTTTCGGAAACGCAATTGATTCACTTTGACTGCATTGCAAAATTGAATAATTATCAAATAGTTCAATTGCCCTTAAAAATATGATTATTAATTAAATGGTATTTGAAATTACGGACTTGAATATTCGAAGCGAATCGGAATTTAACTATACGAAAAGATCGAAATTAGAATCTTGAATGCTTATTGTCACATAATATAATCATAAATTATAATTAATAATAGTAATTTCAAATATGCAATTACAGAAAGCAAATGCTGGCGAATCAAGACAAGTCGAAATCATAAAAAAAAAACCTTTTACTATATAAATTTGTATATACCTAAATACTGTTGGCATTTATTTGTTGGGCTCGACTTATTTAGTTATCCGTCGTCCGTCTTGTTATTGCGGGCATGTATTATTATAAGGCATTGTCTCGGTATTTACATTCTTTTGTATTGTATGTCTTCCGTACGTGTTCATCCGTTCGTCGTCTGAGATTTTTGTCGAATTCGTGTCCTCGCGTGATTGGCGCGATTTGAAGCGTCGGTTATTTTGACGACGGTATATAAGACGACCGCCCGGTCAAGAGACACACTCATTATTCTCCTCGTATTGAATCCGCGTAATAAACAGTTTTCAACGCATAAAGTACTTTATTCAAATATCTCCTCTCCCAACAATACAATATTATGAGTATCTAAACGTATCTATGAGACAAGTGACTTTCGAGATGTCGATCCAATTTCGGAGAAAATTTCAGAGATTGTGAAATATATATTTTTGAAAATTTCTCATTTTTAAATGCATTTTTGAACATTTTCTTAATTAATAATTATCACTTCGATACAACAAATCATTTTAATCACTAATTGTAATTGTAAAAATTAATAAATTATTATTTATTTATAAATTATAAATTATCATTTTATTGAAATATTAAATGACCGATTATACTTGGCGGTATACTAGCAAGGCGTAATGAGATGCGCTTTTTTACTAATGAGAGGCATTGAGTAGGTGAAACAAGTCAAGGACCGACATGACGCACTGAGAGACGAAAAAATTATTATTCGATTAACATATGTCAAGGTGTGTTCTATTTTGGCCTTCTCTTTGATAGTAATTCCATGCTATCTTTTCGATCAATCAATTTTCTTTATTAGCACATTTACATATATATCTATTGTGCTATGAATTTTTGTCGATTTGAAACTATAAGACACCAGATATTTTTAGATTTGAGAGAGCATGCAATTATACACGAATCAACTTTGAGTATCCAAAAATTGTGATATAAATAATTAGTTTAAACGATTTAAGTAAAATATTTTGTTTGGCTTTATATTATAGATTATAGTATATTAAATATTTTTGTCGCTAAGGATTTAATTATGATACGATGTTTGGTCTTCATTTTTTGTGGCATATACATATATGCCACAATGAATAATTGAAGTAATAGGAAATCATAATATATGTCGACATTAATTAATAATAAATTTATTTCGAATTATTATATCACATATACATATAAATTTTGATTTTGCCATATTTTCGAATGGTTTATTGTGCGAGCCATTAATTTGGCTTGTTTGATATTGTGTAATATTGCATAGGCTTAAATTGCTAATGTCGCATTTTAATATTATATTTTTCGGTTATTAACAAAACGTTGCGGATACAGAACAAATCGACTTTGGTTCAGTGGTTTCACGATATCTTTAATTATTAAATACAGCTTTATGAACCCTTATATTTAGTAATTATATCACATAAATTTGATGTTTATACATCGCCGTAATTTGTCAAAATGCGCATTTTGTGAGATTTATTCGTTGTTCTTTCACCGCAATATATATAATAAAGTATGCGCGTCATGTGTGTGATTAACGTTGGGAGTATTTGTAAAATGACACATGATGATCATATTTTACTGATTAGTGAGCGCTTGATTGTGATTAAATCATATTTTTGCAAGTACTTAAGAGTGTCATATATAAAGCAGAAATAAAAAACAAACAGGAGAGGAGAAAATCCGAAGTAACATCGGGCGACAGCTGAGCAAGCATTTATAATTTATTTAATTTACTAGTTACGTCTAAAATTAAATTGGGGTAAATGTATACCTATAGCATAATTATATATATTCAAGGTGTTTGATACAGATTGTGCCACTACTCGTGAGCAAATAGAACATACCTAGTAAACTGAACAGAAAAATGCTTTCCATTTTGAATGCAATAATTAATTAATTATTTAATTAATTCAAAGAGATCGGTTAATTCGCGTGATAAACTAATAAAGGGACGCGAAAGAGCCTAGTTTTATGTAGTCACTAGGAGCGCGTTAAAAAGAAATAGTAATATGTTTCGCGATTACTAAAAACGTGATGAAGTATTGGGATTAATAATGAAATTTAATTATTGCGATAGTAATCTATGCTTTACCTGCTTACGAGTGTTATAATCATTATCAGCATCCTGTGTAATAAACCGAATACAGATATTCAAATTACGAAAAAATAAACAATTGCTACTAATGAATAAAACTCTTTAAAAAATAAACAAATATGTTATAAAGTATAGAAAAATTGTAATGGAATAGTTTTCCGCTTTGAAAAGAGAAGGTCTTGAAAAATGTGTTAACAATATAACTATTTTCTATCAGGCATTCGTGAAATTATGAAAAAATTAATTATTGCTGCTAATAATTAAAACTTTGTAAAAAATGAGTGAGTGTGTTTAAAAATATAGAAAAATATTAATCAAATGATTTTCTATTTGATAATAAAAAATATTGAAAAACATGTGATATAATAACGTAAAAGGAAATCATTATATTATGAAAAAATTAATTTTTGTCTTTAAAGATTAAAACTCTTTAAACAATGAAACAATATTGTATTAAATGTAGGAAAATTAAAATATAACAGTTCTTTTTTAAGAAACAAGAAATATTAAAGAACGCGTAAACAATGTATCATTATATTATCTACTATGAACATACTGAACGTTAAATATAAAGAATTCTAATAGATAACTGTAATAAGTTTACTCTACTTCGAAAATGAAGTATTTAAAAAAAATGTGTTAACAACATAACATTTTTTACTAGGGGTAAAATTATATACAAATATTATTTCAATAGTTATCGAAAATTTCTGTTTAATCAGATTAGAAGAGAACACTGCTACATGCGTATTATATCGAATGTTGAATTATTTTTTATCTAGATTTAAAATGAATTTATATGTATTATAGTTAATGTGTAAAAACACAATAAATTTATATATTATTAATAAATAAAATATCACATACATAAAAAAAAAGATTTTTAAAAATCTTTTCTTGATATTTATTATTTCGTGAATTAATTGATTATTTTTTACAGTATCATCAAATTTATCATGTAATTTAATGAAATACGCATTAACTCGTTAAAAACTATAGAAACTTGTTCACTGAGTCATAGATTCAGTCAGTGATTTAAAAAAAAAACAAAATTTAGTTTGGTCATTGTGCACCGCGAGGAACTGAGAGTAAGCAGTTATATAACGAAGATGGCGTGGCCCTTCCTAAAAGTTTATAACTTTATTACGGATATTCCGGGGAGCCCGGAAAGAATTCCCTGATGCGAAAGTTTGACAACTTTCCGCGCTCTTGGCGCGTATTTCGACTTTCTCCTCTTGACTTTTCGTCCGCAACAAAGTCCGTGCCTCTTCATTTCTCTCTTGGTTTCTATCTTTCTCATACGTTTCCTCTCCAGCTTTATTTTTCCGATTCTTTTCTGGAAATATAACGACAAAAATACCAGTGCGCATGGAAAGGAGGGGAGGAATTATATCCGAAAGAAAGCGATCTTGATTTCCTGTCGCGGTTGAAAATTGCATGACCGCGTCCGCGTTCGTATACATGTCGGATCTCGAGTGTAAATTGAACGAGCAAAGTTTCGCACGATCCCTGTTTGCGACCAATTAATCCTTACGAGGAGAAGGAAATAGCGCAAGCGTGTACGACAACACGACACCGAATGCGGCACTCTTTGCTGAAGTTGCAGGAGATCAATATTCTTAATCCTTATCTTCCAGAAAAGTCCATTTCGCGAAATTAAAGAAAAAAGTTGACAAAATTACGTAATTGAAATCCATGCGCTGTTGAAGTTGCAAATTAAAAATTTAAAGAAAATTGAAATATTGTTAAAAAATCTATTTAGAAAATTAATATTGTTAAGCAAATGGCGCATGCATGTGTGCATCGTTTAGTAGGTAATATTATACTATTTAGTATTTAATTGTGTGTGTTATTTCTATCTAAATATTTTTATTTCTATCTGATATCTAATTTTAATATATTTTAAGTTCTATGTAGAGTCTGGCACTCTTTAATATATGCTGAAGGGGCAAATGTTAAAATTTTATGGAAATAATTTCGAGAAGGAAACTTTTGAGAAAAGGCGATTGGCGAAGCCACTCAACCATGGGTCCCATATTTCAGATGTTACTGGTAACATCGAGCGATATAGAATCGGCCAGTATTCGTTCGCAAAATACATTGCAAGATCATCTGCAAATAAAGATTTATATGTAATTAAATGTTACATAACAAAAAAACAGATTAAAAAATTTTATTTATAATTACATTACAAAAGCAGTATTATGTTGAAATATATGATTAAGATTTATCAATATTTCTAAATGGTTAAAGATTAGGTACTATAGAAAAGAAATCTCTCGATTTATTTTATTTTACAGAAAAAAATGTCACCTTTTTTGTAATTTATTCTTTGTACACCGTTATATCGATATGTTGTCTGACAATGAATTATCTTGCATATGTGTGTGTGTTTACGCACGCGCGCGCGCGCGCACACACACACACACACACACACACACACACAAGCAGATATAGTGTCCCGTAAAGACCGAATCAACGCTTAAGGGTAGATTCTTGGTAACATTTGGAGACAATTTTTCTCATCAAAAATGAAGCACCAATTTTAGAGTTATAAGTAATTGAAAATAAAGGACTTCTTGCAAACTAAGCCTTGTAAAAATAAAATATTAGCAAAACCACATTCTTCAATTAATTTCAAGTATAGTTTAGAATTTTAATTTAAAGAATTAATTACAAAGATACATGATGGTAAAAATTGGGAACATGTAGAAAATAATGATCTCCTTTGACATTTTTGCTGAGAAAAAATTGTCTTTAAATGATCCCAGAAATCTACTCTAAACGTTGATCCGATCTTTACGGGACACCCTGTATAATATGAATAATATATTGTACAATACTTACTAAACTCTTTATTGCCATCGAACAAATTGTTCAAATAAATTTTCATATTTTTAACTGTGGGACGACAATAAAAATGTTCTACAGTCCATGTATCATTTGCTACATGTCCTATTAAATCCCATGTTCCTCTAATATCGTCTATAGTTAGATTATAGCTTCCTGTCGCATAAATTATAACAGTAAATATATAATTATTATATAATATTTTCCACACACAATATAATATAATAATAACTGAAAAATATTAAGAAAAGTCATGACTATTTACATATTAAGAATGATTAATTTGTAAAACATACACTAATTCAGTGTTCAATTCAGTGTTCCGATCTTTATGGGATATATATATATATATATATATATATATATATATATATACAGGGTGTCAATTCAATAATTTAAATTCAATAATTTTTATTTAAATTTGTAATTTGGGAGACATAATTAATTTTTTATTATTATAAGCATGTCATGCTATATTTATATTTTCATACCTTTTCCGCCCATTTTAAATCCGCCTATCCTACCTTCTGCTTCACAATCACCTTCGAGAAACAGTTTCGGTACTTGTGTATCAATTTCCAAACGAAAGATATCATCGAGAAAATGCGCTCTTACAGCCGCAAATTTAGCATTCTTTAAACCATACGCAATAGCATTTTTTATGGTTATTTTTCCATGTACTTCGCCTCTATCAAAGTCAAAAGTGCCGTGTTTGTAAGACAAAGGATCCAAAGGTGGAAAGTCAAATTCTGGAAGTCCTATTAAGATAAAAGAATTAGTATTAATATATATTTTTTGATATTTAAAAATGGATTAGAATATTTTATATATAAAATTTTTTCTTTTAAATATAGATAAAATTAAATTTATTTATATAAATTTATGAAAATTTAAATAACTTATAATTATTAATTATAAATTATATACTATTATAATTATATACTATTATAATTATTTATTATAAATTGCATTGCATGTTAACTTATTTAATTTTTAAAAAGTGTATAAGTTAAAATGATATAATTAAATATTTTAAGAAACATACCTTTAATAAATTGTGGCCATGATTCCTCTACCGCAAGTTTTAAGCAATTGAAATAGTTAGAAGAATTCCGCTTGCAAGTGGTTACAGCTGAATAATAATCATAAAAATACCTGAGTTACTAATAAAAGTAGTTAATAAAAAATAATTCAAATATAATATTGAAGAAATAAATATATTTGTATGTCAATTGTGCATGTAATAGGAACAAAATGAAATGTATTTTTTCTTTTTTATTTTTCTATATTTAATCGTAAATTAATAAATGTTGTTGCAACTGTAATCTGCATTTTATTAGCGATATTCAGAATACATACAGTAACACTCGTGAAAATAAACATCAACGTTAGTATGTACGTGCAATTTTCTTATTAATAAAAATGTGAATGTTTAATATATATAAATAACTTTTTACAATAATAACACCAAGAGTAATTATTATATTACTCTTTCAGATATATTATTGAATACAATTATATAATAATATATATACAATTCTAGAGGATATATCAGGTCCCTTAATCTATTATTTGTTTTCTTGAAAAATCATTTATTATCTCATTTATTTATTAATATATATTTTTCTGGTTTCTGATATTATCTTATGCAATATTGATTTTTTACAATAATATTTATTTTTTATAAAAATATACAAATATTATATTAATTTGCCGCGAATGTACAATTATTCTTATTTATAAAATTCTTTCTAAAAATTAAATATAATCATAAGCATAATTACACTTGTAATGTACTTACGAAGCTCTTCCGCTATGCATAATCCAATCAATATAATTGCACTGAACGCACTGAGTGTATAAACTATCATCTTGTTCACTTACTTTTCTGTGAATAGTTTTATCAGGTACAAACGCTAGCTTTATATAGTATCTGCTCTCAAGGTTCATTGATGAAGTCACATCTCAATTAATGCGTGCTAAATACGCAAAAAATAAGCCTTGAACAAGCTATATAGACATATCGATACAATCAAAGAAGGCATGTAATTTTGATGCGTAATTAACTTGAGTATTATGTATCCATTATTGTGTTTCAAAGAATTTTTAAACTTAGCAAAATATGCTCCTACGTCTGGAGAGAAATCGATCTGCTATTAATCCATTAAAACATAAAAAGTTTTAAGATTTAAAAATATGTTGATGTAATAACTTTAACGATTTTTCAATATCCAACTATTAATTTAATTTACCTGGTTTATAGTTTATATAATTAGTGAAATTTTTTTCTATTTTATTTATCAATTTTTATTAAACTTTAAATTTTTCTAACTAAAAATCTATTTGTTTCAAATACAATATTTGGCACATTTTATCACATATATATATTGAATAGTATAATAATATAAATATTAATTTATATAAAATTGTTTTTATAAAAATATATGTTCAATTATGTGAGAAAAATGTGAAAGATATTAAAATAAATATCTAATTTAATAAAAATGTTATCATATCCATAAGTCTTTGCAAATGTGCACTTTAAACACATTATTACATTTTGATAATAAAAACATATAATACATTTATTTTACACAATGCAACAAAATTTACTTCCACGCAAATATTTTATCATAAAGCAGACAATTAAAGAATATATTAATTAAAGAACACGAGTAATAATAAGTTACTTTATCCATATAAACTCCATAAAAACATTAAAAATGTATAAATGATGTAAAGCTAAATCAATAATACGTACATGACATCTAATGGAATTATAAATAAAATAGATAAAAATAAAATCGTGCAAATGTACATACATTTATATCTATTATTTTATTTGTTATTATAGAACAAATGTTTAAATTATATATAATATTGTGATGATTTAATAATTGACACTAAAATAACTTCGGTAATATTTTTTTTAATATCTATATATATATATCTTTTAAATACTATTCAAAGCTAATTTTTTTCTTAATAAAAAAAATATTCTAAGAATACATTTTACTAATAATAATATATATAATAATATATTTTTCTCTTTAATACGTCATTTATGATATAATTTATTGTATAATTCCTATGTCGCAATTTTTCCATGGTTTATAATGAGAAATAGATCTTTGGTTTATACAAAAGATATGCGAATCAGCTTTATTCTCTTGAGAGATTCTTATATCTATTTTCCATTTTATTTTGTGTTTATAAATTTAACATCGTATTCTTCCTTTTCTTTCCTCTCTCTACCCTCCCTTCCCTTCTCTCTCTCTCTCTCTCTCTCTCTCTCTCTCTCTCTCTCTCTCTCTCTCTCTCTCTCTCTCTCTCTCTCTCTCTCTCTAATTATGCATCGAATACGGACCTATGTTGACATATCTTTCTTACAAGTTATGTCTCTAGTGGCACTTGATTTCCTTGGAGATATTTAGGAATTTCTCGAGAATCATGTTATGCTCCTTCGACTTATACATTAAAATTTAGATCCATTTAATAAACGTCGTGACAATAAAATAAAATTTTATTTATGTAAATATCTTAATAAATTAAATATTTTTATAAAAATATTAAAACATATCATTCTAAATATATACGATGCATACACTCATACACAGATAAAAATAGAAAAGATAGTCGTTAATATATAAACATATGATATTATTCAATTCGAATATCGAGTTGATTTGCTCCGAGATCAAAAGTGACATTTTTTTATTCTCAAGCTTGGAATTCCATGTTTAATAATCGAACATTTAGTTTCATATGACGTGCTCGCATTTTGAGGCCTATGCGCACAATGTTATAGTAAATATCCCTATAGCCCATTGCTGTACGATATTCAATATTGACACATCGTAGTAAAACAATGGAAATATGTTGTGCGGCTACAGTGTCGAGAGAGAAGCGTAAATATCAAGTAAATTAGCATTAATCTGTTAGCGTTTGCATCGACGCCGTTCAACGGCCGGCTGTTAACGGTTTGAAAATCACGACGACCGAGTTCCCCAGTATCGTTGTAGTTTCGTGTTTGTCGTTCGTTCGAAAAGCCCTCTAACAGGCACGCGAGTCATTTTTGAAGCCGTCCCCTGAACATAAAATAGACCGATCCAATCGCATGTCCACCCGCGTGGGAAAAACGGGATGTTATCTCTTTGCCCGACGAATCGGTAAAGCAAATATTTCGACATATGTACGAATTTGAATTTGATGAGAGAAAGACGGAAATACGGTCAAACCGGTATTTGTTCCGCGTTACTAATGCAACCATATTTATGAGATATTTCACGATTAGTATCTCGAAATACTCATTATTCTCGATAGCTGTTCTGCTGCACAAAGTACTTTTAGTGGGGTTGTTTTATTAAATCAACAAAATATGCTATTTTTAAAATGGGATTTTCGAATTATTTGCCATGCATGAATAAAGGTAATGATTAAAATAACAAATTTTTCCTTTAATTAAATATTATAATGAATTTATGTAAATCACTTTCCAACTACAAATGATGAGGTTTAAATCAATGACACTATTTAGCTACTAAACCACAATAAATCTTCAGTTATAAGACAACATTTTTTATAGAATTTTGTCACATTAAAAAGCATTATACAAAATATAAAAAAATTATGAAACATTAATTATCACTTTAGTAATATTCGGTATATTACTCAGAAGATAAGAACACGTTACCTAAACATCACCTAAATGCAGATACCTAAACACCTTACATTTAAAAACTCAAACGTAATGAAACGTGAATATTTATCGGCGATGGAAAGCTCGTAAAATAATAATAGATTCAATAATTTTGTCAGCCAAGCAACAGACTTGTCTTTCACCAGCAACCTCATAATTCTACGAGATGCTGTGATTCGGCGACGAATACAGGGATGAAACGACCGAAATTCGAATTCCGTCGACGGAAAACTCCTGGGACGAAATATGATTGACATCTTACCCAAGTTGGAAAGGTGGATCGCGGCATAGACGCGCGCAACACGAATGACATAAACCGTCAAACGTGACGGCAGGAGAGAACAGATTGGCCTCAGTGCACAATACGTGATCGGCGTAGGTAGAGTTCTCTGATTTCTCTACATAGCTGTAGAATGCGAAAGAGACATTCTGGAAAGTAGAATAGCGTTTAATACGCCGGGCGGGGATGGAACACCGAGAGAAAGATGGAAAGATCGCGAGAGAGATCGGACGTGACGCCATTTCCATTTCTCGAAATTTATGGGCCAAGTTTTGCTCGCACGTGGTCTCGCTAATTACGTGAGAATCGCGGCAGGTTCAGGAATAATGATTGTACGACCACTGGCTGAAATAGGAAGATGCGGAAAGGTTGTACATTTTAGCATTGAAACGAGATCGTTTATTAATGAAATTCGGATACAATAAATTTTGCATCGTAACTGCAGAGAACGAATAATTTATGCAAATGTATTCCAAGATAATAAAAAAAAAAAAAAAATTAATTAAAATCAAATCAGAACTAGCAAAGGCTTGAATAATTTCTAGACGAAATATATTTTTTCTTTTTTCTCACCTTATTTCTCGTTTATGAGATAACATCTAATGTATTGATTTATTAATTATGAAATTCAATATTTATATTTAAAATATATATTTCTATTTCTTTCATGGATTATAATCTAAGGATTAATTAAGTAAGATTAAAGAGATGAATACAAAAATTAATTGTAGCAGTTGCACTTATTAAAATGATTATGGATTTAAATTAATTGAGGCTAAATTCATTAAAAACTTATGATTAACAATTATTAAAATTTATTTCTACATAGAGTTACTAACAAAAAATAAATAATATATTTTTAGTTATTAGCTGAGTTACGCTTAGTTCATATAAGAAACAATGATGCTATTAATAATCTATATTTTCGTTCATTTTCATTATGCATTTTAGATTAAATTTTAGATTAAATTCGGATTATCCAGATTTTTAGTGACCTCGGGATATATATAATTAAGAATTTTAATTTATAGAAACCATTCACGAGTTTCTGCTAATTATCATCTTGTTAATTATGCGAGGTCAAGAAGCAGGTTTATTAGATTTGTGGGAAAAAAAATAAAAACTCGCAGTGAATATATTCCCGTGCAAAATAGAAATAGAATCCGTCTGTTTTCCCTTACTTTTTTCTTTTTTCTGTTTTCGCACTGTTCCTTGACCGAGGTGTGCAAAGCAGAGAGCCAGTCCCGTTCGATTAAAATCTTATGAAATGCCGGAGTTTTGGATTTTATGCGCGTTCCGTAATACAGTTTCTCGAATCTCGAGTATTCTATACTGCTCTCTCGTGCACAATACACCACTCACACCTGCGATATGCAACGAGCAGTAGCGTGTAAAATTCGCCGTAAATTAATCATACGAAATTTCATTAAAGGATCTCTTGAATACTAACAATTAACGCTGCTTTGGCAGCAGCATTCACCGGTGTCACGGCTAATTAATTGCTTAGTGAAAATCTGTTGGTCGCGATTCTAAATATAAAATTTTATTAAATATAATTTTAACATAGTTTTCTCCTATTTCTATATAAAATATTTTTCTAATTGTAATGCAAACGTACGAAGATAGATTTACATAGATTCAACATAAACACATTTAGTTGTATTTCTACGTAAATAGTATTTAAATAAAGTAAAATCATTGTTTTCATATTACAATTTATACAAATACTATTCATACGTGTAAACTGATATAATTTGAATGAATTTTATTTTAAATATATATTAAATGTTACACTAAAAAATATAAAACATTTTTTTCTAATATTAACAAAAAAAATTTAAAAAAGCTTCAGTTTTACAATTTCACCGAATACTTTCCGAATATGAAATCTTATATATAAATTAGCAGAAATAATGGTTTTCATC